ATTTACTTTATGAAATGAATGATAAAAATGTTAAACTTTGCCCACATATTAACCTTTTTTGAGCTGTGCTAAAATACACAAACATACCCACATGTCTACATATATTTCTTGCTATATATACTCTAAAGAAAGCCAATTTAATTCTGAGGTTGTTTATTGTAATGTTTTCCTGTGTCGTGGTGTGCTAATGTGTTTGCGCCTCTTTCAAACTATACATGTTTGCATGTGTGTGTTGCACATGCATGCATACATATTTCCCTGCAGATATATGAAAGAAAGGAGACTGAAATTGTATGAGATTAAAAATTGAAACTCTCCAGCAACACCAGAACAGAACAATGGGAATTAGAGATTCCCTTAGCTGAAGACATGCTGTCCAAATGTATCAAACAGTCAGCTCTCTTATGGCTATTTCTCAAAAAAAAAAGCTCTGGCTATAAATATAATGACTTTTTTTGGTGTTAAGACTCTGGTATAAGGTACAAACATTTCTTTGTTTTCTCAAAGCTGCCATGGGCCCCTCCCCTGTCTCACAGCTCTTATAGGTGTCCTAATCCTCAGTCTCTTCCAGCCTCAGATAACACAGGAGATGTCTGCCCCACAGCATAAATGAATCAAGAATGCATGAAACTACTACTTGTTGGCTGTTGTTCTAGGCTGCTAAATAGATGGATAGGTGTAACACCAAAGCAGACCTAACAAAATCAAACTACAGCACAATAAATCAACTGTTACAATAAAAAAATCCATCTCCATTACTCCACCACTGTTTTATTTTAATTGGTGTCCCCAAAGTCACATGACAAGGTTGGGAAATGACTCTAAAGAAAAAATTTAATTCTTTTTTTCTTTTTTTATCATCTATAGTTACCTTTTTTGTTTTTGTCTTCCCTCTGGCCTTGTTTCTCTTGTCCTCATTATAATAACAGACATTGTCAGTTATGTAAATTAGAAAATTGCCTCATTTGGTGACTTCTTCAAACTTTTAAAAGAACCTATAGTTACCCTATTTACAAGTTGTTCAAACCATTCCACTAAACTGGACCATAATAAAGGGTTCAGCAAGAATTCAAACTCCAACGTCAAAGATCTTAAAATCTTCAAAGATCAGAGGTGAATATTCTGAAATATGTTGCCCATTTAAAAACTAGTCTCTTGGGATGACATCAAACTTAATTTTGCTTACTTTATATACTGTGTCCATATCCTAACCACTATTTGGGCCTTCTCACAATTACACTGAGAAACCTGCCTGTTGCCTTCTTGTCAAAACAGCAGTAGTGCATAAAACAATGTATCTAAAACTAAGGTATTGATATCCTAATGATGGTATCCAACCGATATGATCCCAACCTATTATCGAAAAATTATGTATTTATTATTATATATTTTTGATAGATTAACCCACCACTAGCTTTTAGTATTTAGACACTATAGTATAATGTATAAAATATCCAATAATGTATAGTACTATTGATCTAATAGCTTTTATAAGACCAAAGAGGGAAAAGTGTTGATAACCGATTTTTTGGGGAAGCAATTATTACTGTTTGTCTTCTGTTTAAAGCAGGCATTTTGATATTTGAGGTCGCTGGAAGACCTTCAGTGTAATGACTGAGTATTCCTACTTTTCAAGACCCACCAAAAGAATTTACAAATCTAAGAAAATTAAAGTTTGCTCATGCTTATAACTTAGTTCAAAGATCTTTCAGTGTTGTGGTACTTGGAATAAACATCTTTTCTGAACCACTACTCTACGGTACACACTGATTACCATCATAACAATTTGCCAAACCAGAGGCAGAATTGATCAGTTATTATAATTTTGCAGCTCCCGCAGTGGGACTGTGTGTATAGGGCCTGACGAAAAAGGGGAACTAGAAGTTTGAAGTGTTCCAAAAAGTACGGAAAAGGATTAGGGCTACTGAAAAAACAAAAACGTTAACTGATTTTTAAATGTTATTTCAGTATAATATGAGAAAAACTGACTTTAATCTCAGAATTTTGGATCTTAATGTTGATGGGCACCATGAAGGAAGAGATGTGGGAGCACTCAGCTTCACTGACAAACGTGTGAGTTGTTTGGGAGGGCCAGTAACACATTGGTGAAAAATGACAAAATAAGAGAGCTAGTTTAGTCTCTAAAACAGACATGGCTACAGCTTGATGCAAACATGTTTGATAGCTGTCAGAATTCTGAGAACAAAGTCAGAATTCTGAGAAAAAAAGTTTAAATTCTGAGATTAAAGTCAGAATTTTGAGAAAAAAAGTCAGAATTCTGAGAAAAAAAGTCAGAATTCTGAGAAAAAAAGTCAGAATTCTGAGACTTTTTTCCCATATTAAACTGAAATATTCAAAAAATCAGTTAACTTTTTTATTTTTTCAGTGGCCCTAATCCTCTTCCTTATTCTAAGAAAAAAAGTCAAAATTCTGAGTTTAAAATCAGAATTCTGAGAAAAAAAGTCAGAATTCTGAGAAAAAAAGTCAGAATTCTGAGACTTTTTTCCCATATTAAACTGAAATATTTAAAAAATCAGTTAACTTTTTTATTTTTTCAGTGGCCCTAATCCTCTTCCTTAAATAATGGCTAAAACAAAACAAATACCAAATTGCCCTTTAAAAATATCCTCCACCCCAAATAAGCCCATGTGTACTAAAACATTTAATAAATACACTTCCCTCTTTATTCTCACTACAACATGAAACTTTTAAGTCTAGGTTAGTTTAGAAAGAGAGAAAAACGCAGCCCAATCCAAACTTAGCCCTTTGGACAGCAATGTAATCCCTCCCAGGAGCAGAGTGAGCACAGGGAGGGAGCCAAGCGGGCTGCTAAATGCTCCGGCTTCAGAGGGACGATGGTGGAGGGCTGGTAAAGATGGCGGCTCTCTCCGAGGATGGGAGGTACGGATTAAATTGTGGCCAACAGGGCGTCGAGAGAGTCTCCGTACTGCACGTCAAGTTGACCGAAACGGCGCTGAGAGCCATAGAAAACTACCAAAGTAGTACGGTGAGTTAAATAAGACATTAATTTCTGTAAATATGGCAGCTGGTTGTCTCTGGCTGACACCGCTTCTCCCGACTGCCACGCACAGCTAAAGCTAGGAGGTTAGCTAAACTGTTGACAGGGCGACTTTCTGCTTCTTTTTTTCATTAAACTAGGTTTGTGTCGTTCGATTTATCAGCTGGTATTAATAGACGAAGATCATATCTTACGATCTAGTCAGGTTTTCAGAGCTGACAATTATTTAAAACTCTATAAATTATCTTAGTTAAGTTATTGACACTCTTAATTAGCGTTAGCTCTGCGTTAGTCAGAATCCCCCTTGACTAGTTAACCTAGCTCTTTTCCTCTCTACTCATTCGACCTAACTTAGTTACAAAATTAGGAAACGAAGAGTTTAGATATCGTAACTAAAGTTTACGAGTTTCTGGTTTGGTTAAATTACAAAATAAATAATTTAACCAACTTGGTATCTAATTCATTTCAGTTGTGATTACAGGAGTACACAGTGCAGAAGTAATGTGTAATTGTGTATACACCAAAACCCCCCAATTATACTTTATTTAGATTTGCTGGCCTTTTTAAGCATGTCCGTGGTTGGTCAGGTTACCATATGGTTTCAGCTAGCTGGAAAACCCAACACCGCTGCCTGGTAGGGATATGGAGATCCTCCTAGACTAGGCTCATCCTTTTTATAGCTGTTTAACTTAATCAAACAAGTTTTTATAAATACATTTATTTATATATATATATATATATATATATATATATATATATATATATATGTGTGTGTTTCTATTCTGTTTTATTTTAACATCCTCAGTCACACCTGGCAAAACTATAAATGAGTGATGGCAGTCATTTTTTTATTAGACAGAAATTACATAATTACTTAATCAGTCTTTTTATCTTGATAAATAAATGTATACCTTTTAATTGCAATCTGACTTCATCACATTTACAGTTTCACCACCAGAAATGTGAATAAGTTATTTACACTGCATCCTGGTTTAAAGCAACTGGATTATTTATATTTTAGTAATCTAAACATTATGGTGATGTAAGCTTGTAGAGATTACTAAAGGTAAACTAACCTGAAGAAACCCCTGCAGACTTGAATTGCAGTTTCCTGAAGCCAATTTAGCAGGCCTTAACTTCTGTCAAGCTGCCAACAACTATTCAGTTACATAATGTCAGGACTCTGTCTACTTCTCTTCATGCTGATAAACTACAGTTTAGGGCAAGGCCTTAGTGATCCAAGTTTTGGTGGTTGTTGTTTTTTTATGAGATGTATCAATCAGTTTTTTCTCTCTCTCTTTGCTTTCCAAACTATATCAGAATAGAAATTAAAGTGTGCTTTATGGCCTCTGAGAAAAGTGGGGTTTTTAAATCGATCAGGAAATGAGGGATTAGAAGATTACTCAAGTTATAACATTAGCATATATGTCCTTAGCTTTTGTTCCCAAAGAGTACATCAGAGCACCATTTTATTGTTTGATTAGTTTGGAGTGACCTCTTACTCATAGCGCATTAAAAAAAAGGTCTCAAGGTTGAAATTTACAGAAGGTTCGACATCCAGCAGTGATTAATTTTCATTGTCTTGAAGACAAATTGTCACTGTCATACGCAAAGAAAATATGTAATATTGTAAGGCTATATATTTAATTTCTAGATTATCAAAGTTTCTGTTCTATAAAGTTTACTTGCTGTGTATTTTAATTTTTTTTTTAAAAAATACTTTACACTTTAGTATTAATGAAGTTGGATAAACTTCAAATAGTTTTAAGATCAAATTTTTTCAGAGGTTTGTCTTAAAAATGAACAAATCAGCATTGATCTGCTGGTTTCTGTTGCAGATTGTTTGATTGCCATCTGACAAATCAAAACAACAAATACATTACGCAGAAACAGTATGGGTCTTTAACGCAACTATATAAAACTCAATATCTTTATTTTTTTATTATTTACACAGTTTTCAACATTTAAACAACTGAAAAGTAAAACATTATTTTGTGATGGCCCACTGGTTGGGTCAGTGCGTTCAGTCTGCTGAAGGGAAGCCTGCCATCTCTTGCTGACTGGGCAGCCAAAAAACTGCCTGCTTTTTGTTTCTCTCACTCCCAGTAATGTGTGCTGTTGCTGAACCAGTCATCGAACTATGGAAGCTGGCTATCTTTGTCATTCTGTGGCGATGTGAAATGTGATCAGAACTCTGTGAGCCGGTGGGGGAGGGAGGCTGTGGCTTGGACTAGCTTAGCCTTCACTAACTCTGACACAATTCTGTCTTTTAAAAGTGTCTTATCAAAACTACAATCACTCCTTTAACTGTGTAAGTTTAAAATCATGTCTCATGTTTACAAGTAGAGGGAGGAAGTTATTGTTGTTGATGATTAGAAAGACATTTTTTTTTTTTCACTCACTTCAGCTAGTTTAATGCAATGTTTTGGGAGTCTAGCCAGTTTTTCTAGTGTGTGCTAAGGCCTTCTGAAGAAACAGTTTTGTGCTTTCCTGTTCTAACCTACTATCTGCTGTAGGCGTTGCAGATTTGTGGCTGTCAGCCTTATTTCAAGTAGACACTTACACTCATTCATACCTGTCATATTTTGCACCTCTGGCATAAACAATGCAGGTTTTATTTACTAAGTAGAAATCCAAGTAAAACCATCAAACACCACCTTTAACTTTAATCATCCTGCTTTTGTAGAACAAATGAAGGGATAAAGTCACCCTTATCTGCATAGTCAGTCTTTATGTTGCCATTCAGTCGTCAGGCAAATTTTAAACGGACTTAAAAAATATTACAAAATTGGCATGCTAACCAGGCCGTCAGCTTAATTTTGTCAGAAATTGACGTTAAACAGGAATTTAATGAACAGCAAGTTAAGTTTGCAAGCTAGCATGTAGCACACATCTTAGAAAAATCTGAGGTAGGTTTTCAGACTTGTAAAGTTGTAGTTATTTTGTCATGTTAACCAGTTTTGGTGGATGTTACAAACTATTTGGTCTCTTCTGGGGTCCACACCTTTCTGCTGCTTCCAGCCATGTTTTCATAGCCTGGCCAAACAGACTAAATTACACAAAGAATAATTCATATTGGTAAACCGCCGTAGACTGGCCTGCGCAATCGCAGATTGGGAGGCGGGACTTTACAATGCATGCCACTTTGCTTATCTATAATGCAACAGCACATTTCTGCTAGCATAACAACAAACTTGCAACTGCAATTGATCAGTTTTCAATGAAAATCAAATGAGTACTAGAGAGTCCACCTTATATCCTCAGATTTATTTATTTATTTTTTTCAGCAAAAGCCACAGGAATCGATCACCGCTGATTCTTTCAGGACTTGATATGCTTCATGTACTACAAAATTACAACAAAAGAGCGTGTTGCTTGAGGTTATCACATCCTTAATTATTTGTGTGGTTCTGACCTGATGAGGCTGCCCCTGTTAGTCTCGCTTTGAAATCGACCTCTACCAGCTCTTTACGCCGTGTATATTTTATATCAGTCTGGCTGGGTAGGCTAACCTTTTCACGCGTGAATCTAGACGCTGACAGTGGAAACAGCTAATTGGTCATGTGAGGTAAATGTTCGCTGAGTCGGAGCATATTCGGCAAATGTTTTCAGCTCTATTTTAGGGCATTAACTTTTTTTTTTTTCTCTGCGGAAAAACCAAAAGAATTCAGCCGACCCTAAAAAATAAACAAAAAACAACATTTTTGTCAAGATTTTTTTTTATTATTATGTTTTCTTTCATCAACCTTTTCTGAATAAAAAATGCACATACAGAAACAGTGATGGAAACGCAGTTTATTAAGATCTTGCTTCTTTCTATACTTTTATTTCTGCTTTGGAATAAATTGTTTATTTGTTTTTAAATTTCTTGGAGTATAGCTGGTTCTGCAGGAACTGGCTCCATGCTGTTAAACTGCTGCTTCATGAAAACATTCCTCCTGCATCACTTCACACTAAAAAAATGCTTCAGTTTCTGTATTACAGGAAATGGTACAGGACTTCTGGACCAAGTTCCTGTTAAGTTACTACAGCCAGTTAATAACTTAACTCCAGCTGGTTGTTGTCCTCTTCATTTAGGGTGTTTACACCAGAACTCCATGTTTTTCTGTCATATTTAAGTTTCTTCAAATAGTCTCCTTAGGTTTCTGACAGCACTTCAAACCCTGGCCTTAACTGTTCATGGTTCTATGGGGCTGGAAAACCATATGCAAGTACAGGAAGTATAAGTATTCTGAGCTAACAGAAAACTGTTAATTTACCCTCTCATTGGTCTTTTTCTGTGTGCTATTTAAAGGCAAACTATCCAACAAAAATACTAAATGATTTCAAAAAGACTTCTTGAAAGTTGTCTAGAACTATGTGCTATAAAGAAAAGATGTGCAGGCTTTATTTCTTTTTAGTAATTTTGCTATATGAAAATGCTAGCTTAGCTATGTCAAGATGAGTATCCTATCTCATACTTGCAGCACACACCTGTCTCCACATGTTTGATTACATTTAAGCCATCAACAAGAGTTTAGCTGGAGGAGATGATGTTGATGATATTGCGAATTAATCTAATCAGCACAGAGCAACTTACTGGTTATCTTTCTTTTTAATCTGCTTCCAAATTACTAGGCATGTTCTTGTGATCGTCCCCCTCAAAGAAGCAGTAATTGTAACTGCAATATATTTTCTGGCTGGTTTGGTCTGCTTTCTAAAATTAAGCAGGAAAATGAAAAAAGCCTAATTAAAAATGGAAATTTCTCTGAATCTTTGAATCGTTTTAAGGGTCTAGAGGTTTGCTTTGCCTTGGCTTCTGTCAGGCTAGCCTTTAACTTTAGATGGAAGGACTAATCTGGATTTATACTAATTTGACACTATAAAGTTATGTGCTCTTGATAAAGTATTATATATTCTGAATATTTCCTTCAAGCACTTTTAAATTTTGATAAATTGTTTAGATCTATTTTCTAATTGGAGGTGCACTCAGTCCTTTTATTGAGAATTTTCAGATTTCATTATGGTCTGACCTTTATTTTTTGCTATTTAAAAATGCCAAAAATGCACAGCACTCACTTCTTGAAGAAGTAGTGAATCCAGTAGAAAATGTTTTTGCTTGGTTTCTTTGAAAACCAAAGTTGATTTTTGATACCATGAATAAAAAGGTTTTTCTGTGTTAGACCTGCTGATCACCAATCGGAAGCAACCCAAAGAGAATTGGCCTGATATTGATCACAGGCTGGATTCTTGCATGTATTTGACCGATGCAATTGAATTTGGTTTGGTTTGATGTTGCCTTTATTCTTTCTTCCCTCCATTTCAGTAAGTATGAACAGAGTTAACTTTATTCTTCCCTTCCTTTTCAGAATATACCATCGTTACGGCCAACGGTACAATTCAAGGGACTCCAAGGGGTAATTCCTCCCTTCTGTTTCTCTTCATTTTTTTTAATTCTATATCTGTTTATTATTTTTATCATTGTGAGGCCTAAGTAAGTGACACTTGACTATTTAAGATTAGTCATGCCTTTGTAAAAGCGCATCACTTTTCCTCAATGTGTTTTAAAGATGTTATCCAAGACTGTCTTGTGTTTGGAGACCAGTGTGCATTGGTATGGTGAATTATAAAACAAGGAGGGACACAAGGTCTAGGTTTTGTTAACAGAGAACTACTTAAATATGAATGGCTTGAAAACCATAGACTTATCCCACTCTTAAATAATGGAGCTCACATACTCCTCCATAGTTTCTGTGATTGCAGTGAAAATCTCTCTTCTTTACAACCTATTACATTGACCTCTAAATATGAAGTCATGATTATTTTTACTAATGAAACAAAATTTATTCCCATTTCATGTAGATTTTTTTTCCCCATTTTGTGTATAAACCTAATAACTCCTGGCTTTTAGATTGATTAAAGAAATGCTAAACAGTTTTGTGCTAATTATTTTACAGCACATTAAAATTCCCAAGACCGACTCCTCTGACACGTTCCACAATTTTGATTTCTACCTGTCTAATGTGGGAAAGGACAACCCTCAGGGAAGCTTTGAGTGCATCCACCAGTATGTGTCCAGGTAATGGTAATCACTGTTCAGCTGAATCAACTGTTGCTGTCTTACTACACCTTGCTGGAAGGTAATCCCTCCCTGCCTTGCATTTCTCTCCAACGCTGCATCTCTGTCTCCAGCTCAGGGGCCTCACACCTGGCATTGTTGGCGACCGTTCAGGACAAGGTCACAGTGTGCGCCACCAGTGACTCTTACCAGGTGACACGGGAACGTATGACCCAGGCCGCGGAGGACACACGTGAACGGGGGACCAAAGTCATTAAGCCCGGGGGGCAGTATCGAGGTAAGACCCTCTGCCAACTATTTTTTTTTGTTTGTTTTATCTACGAGTCTGTAAATAATTTTTCAGTTTATTTGTTTTGGAAAAGTTATATCTAGAATCTTTTTTTAATTGATTTATTTTTTTTTTTTTACATCTTTACAAATTGTGTTACTATTTCTATTATTTTCTATATTTCTACTATATTTGTGTAAATATTTCCACTTTTTACCTTTGTTAATAACTTGTTTCCTATGTAGTTATTCTCAAAGTTAAGAATTTTATCGGCAAACACATTTGAATGAATTAATTAGAAACTTTTTCTATATTGTAAACCTCTTCCAAAACATTTGGGGATAAGTTTATAGTTTGATTTTTAAAAAACAGAATTGAAGCATCTGGTCTGATTCATCCTGAAGGTCTTCTATAAGGTTAAAGTCAGGAGGCAAGTCAACTGATATAAAGCCTATAGATCAGAAAGCCAAATATCATAACACGGTCTAAGAGACTCGGTAGCAGGTAAAAAAAAGTCTGGAAAGGCTTCAAAGCTTTGTTCAAGGTTTGAATCTCCAGCAAACCACAGTTGGAACCATTATCCAGAAAGAAAAAAAAAAAAAGGAGGGGCTCATCTGACTAAATAACTTGAGTTTTGTAAAGATTTGTTCAGAATGGCCCTGAATAACCCTAAACACATTTTAAACACTGCAGGCTTTACTTGCCTCAGTGAAAGATGGCTTTAATGGTTCATAATTAGGAGGACAATATACTAAAATAAAACAAAAAAATAAAAAAGACAGTTAAAATAATCGTTCTTTTTGCGCCTAATATAGCAGATATAGATCCAGGGGTTACACAGGTGTTGGATAAAGAATTGCTTTGCTAATGTGAACTCTTGACACTTTTTTTAAAGGTGAATGATGTATTCTGTTTCAAAAATCTAGGGAACAATTTGCATAAACAAGTTTAGACAGAAACCGATTCAGACAGAAACTGGGAAACGAGAGGAGCTGCACTGAAAAGTGGTGGGTCTGAAACTCCCAGCAGCTGGCTTGGTGTTGTTGCTGATTATCACCACCATAATGAATGACAGAGGGTTTTTATAAAGTATGATATATTCATAATAGAATTTATTATCAGTAATTAGTTCGATTCTAAATGCTTAGCATTTATGACAAAAATAATTTAAACTTTTTAGATAATGAAAGGTTCATCTCAAATCGCATCTTCCCTGGGAAGAGGGTTTCCTTTCTCTTCAACCTCACTAACCTTAATCTCTTAAAGAGCTTTAGAATTTCAAAACAAGCATCAGGAAGCGTAGCAATGTGCTGTCTTGATTGTAAAACACAGCCCAGAAACACAGAGCAGCATTTTAGGTTGTAATGGTCTTTTACTTTTTCCATTAATATAATAACTTTAGTATAAGAAATGGCAACTGGTTAAACACCACGTTGTCCATCTAGATTTTTTTAAATTTGTTTGGAATGGGCTTTTTTACATACATTTATAAGCCATTTTGTAGAATTAAATATGCAGATTAATCTTCCTGTTAAGGGTTTAATGCTTTCTTTACTTTCTGTGTTTAGGAAAGCAGGTTCACACTCGTAAGCCAGCGTTATCAGCCCTAGATGTAGTCCCAGAGCGCAAACGCTCCACCCCTATAAACCCAGCCAACACTATACGCAAGTGCCTTTCCAACAACCCTGTATCCCAGAAGCCCCTGCGGGACCGCATCATTCACCTGCTAGCGCTGAAGTCGTACAAGAAGCTGGAAGTGCTCGGCCGTTTGCAGCGGGACGGAATTAACCAGAAGGACCGGAACTCACTGGGGACCACATTGCAACAAGTAATCACACTTTTTTTTGTTTTCTTTGTTTTTGCTATTAAAGTTGGATTCAACCAGTCACTTCCCTGGTACACAGAAAATCTAGTTCAACTTTTGGCTGATCTGAGCCCTTCTGATTCATAAGAGCACTTTGAGTCCAGCCAAATCCAAGAGATCCATTTTACTTCTGTTCATCATCTGCTAACATATTTGCCCTGGGCAGCTCAGTCCTCTGTAGAAAGTCTCCATTGACGAGAAACTAATCACTAAATTGTTGCTAATAATTTGCATGCACAGATGGCCTTTGCAGGAAATGTCAGGTTTCAGTACAAGTCAGAAAATTTCTCATGCTGCTGAAGTTTAGCTTTGAAACTATTACAATGTGTCTTTGTTCAACAGGTGGCAAACCTGAATCCCAAAGACAACACATACTCGTTGAAGGAGTTTATATACCGCGATGTTCAGCGAGACTGGCTCGGATATTCTGAGGATGAGAAGATCCAAGTTGACCGGATGCTAGCTCGGTATGGTATGGGCCGCCGAAGAGAAACGCAAGGCTTCAACTGAGGCCTCCGTCAGTAAAGCATGGATACTGCAGTCTGTGCATAGTGTGACTTAGTAGTCCTACATGGGCTTCTAAGGAACATTCAATGTAGTAAACACAGTGGGAATGAACTTCACTTTACATATGATCCCTGCAGTTTACTTGCTGTGATAGTTAGCATATTAAAATTATACACTGATTAGAGTCAGCTGATTTTCAGCAAGGTTGCCCTTGATCAGTGTCTGGATTCTGGGCCTGACTGCAGAACCTTGTCAGACCAAACTGTATGCATCCCTGGTTTTTTGTTTATTTTCTTTTTCTTTTTTTTTTATGTCATTTTGTCATTTAAAAACAGAAACAATTTTCCTCAAAGTAACAAACTTTATGATTGGTGTTATTCAAGTGAAAAACTTGATCTGTTAAAATATTTTTACCAGGTAATAAATATTTTGTTAGAAAATACCAGAGCAGCACAGGAGTCTTTCCTTTTCCGTGTTGTACTAAACTTATGCATTATTACATCATATTAGAAAAATGCGTGTCAGTGCAACCAGTCACTAGGAAGATCACTAGTCTACACTCTAAAAACATTATCACAGCTATTACACAATTTTTGTCCAGTTTCAAATAATTTGAGATTTTCTGGATTTTTGAAATTTATTTCTGTATCGACTTAAGTCGTTAAATTAAAGATGAAGGTTTAATCCTTTAAATGTGTTTGGTTTGTTATTTAAATGTGTTTTTTCCTGATTGTGTTTTCTAAACTCTGCTTTTCACCGATAAATTTCTTTTTTTTCTTTTTAGTAAATTAGGTCTTCCTACTGAGAAAGTCTCCTCAAACAATTCACCTAAAGACGGTTTCCCTTCATCCCCACAGGTAATGAATAAAGATGCACACAGAGGGAGGGGAAAAAACCCAAAAAGGGAAACAAGTTTTGGTTTATTTTTGGTGTGCTTTTGCAGAAGCGCCAGCCTGACTTTGACTTCATCGATCCTTTGGCTCCCAAGAAAGCCCGCATCTCTCACCTCAGCAGTCGAGGGCCAGCAGCCTCTTCCTCTGACCGCCGTGAGGACGAGAGCAGCCCCACCTCCAAACACTCGTCCCTGCCCCCCAACGTAACCTCAGGGCCTCCCAGCCATCTCCCCGTTTCGTCCCACCCGCCAGCACCTTCACATCAGCATCTCAGCCCAGCCTCCAACTCCAACTCCCCCAGCACCCCAGAAGGCTGCGGCACTCAGGACCTGCCCATGGACCAGAGTTCCTCCTGCAGAGACCCCTCACCCAGCCCCCTTCCTCGCTCCTTGCAGGACCGCTGTAAGCACCCTGTCCCCAGAGCAGCCGCCTCTCCCAGCCCGCCCCCCCGCACCTCTCTCACAGTTACCTCCACTGTCATCACCAGCTCCCCTTTGCCTAGCAGTACAAGTAAGAAATTCAAGAAGAAATCCAAGAAGCACAAAGACAAAGATCGTGAGAGGAACAAAGGGAAACAACCAGAAAGAGCCTGTAGTAGTCCTCCTGTGGCAGAAGAACAGGCTGAGGAGAGTAGCACAGTGAAGAAGAGGAACGATGCTGACGAAGTCATCGAGGAAGCTGTGGAGAAACCTTACAAAGAACAAGGTACAACTCCAAATGAAGAAAGCCATTCCCTCCATATATGCAATGAAAAGTGAACTTGTTTATTAGGCCATAAGGGTGAGTTTAAGGATCTTTGACACTTGCTAGATTGGCCTGGAAATATTTTCAACATGGTACTTGTAAACTCCAGGAGGTAGCTTTATCATCCCTCTGCAGCTTTCACTATGGCTGTTCCCCCCCCAGGCTCCTCCTCAGTGGGTGGAGCACATCAAAACACTCCAAACAGCCAGAACCCCCACATGTACTAATAAACCTACCTTAGCTTAGAGTAAGGATCAACTGTTTAATTGGACTACTCTGCTTTCCTATGTTAAAGAGGAGAATGAATTCATGTTCTTTTGACAGCTGTGTGTTGTCATTGGTCAGTTTTCTGATCTTCAGCTTTTATAAACCTTTGGTCAATAAGCCATGTTAAAAAGCATTTGCTGTAAAACGGGTAAATGCTTATTTAAAAGGAACAAATATTACAGTATTTATCTGTCTAGTGTTTGCCACTTGGCATTGTTAGCGGTCTCAGTGCATCCTGCTTAGATAATGTTGATCCTTATCTTATGTCAGATTTCTCAAAGGCTGCCAATGTCTAAATGCAGAATGTTCCATGACACAGACTGAAAGCTTAAAATGATAAAGGCAACCTTGCTGTAATATGCCCAGCCTTTTCTTATCCCGTCAGTCTTCCTCTTACAGTTTGAGTAAAAGTCTCTACATGTCATAGAAAGTAGGGTAGTAGTTTATCAAAGGAGTAACTGGGTTTCTTCCCATTGGTCGACGACATGGAAGAGCGTTCATTTCAGCGTCTGGCTTGAGAAAAGGCTTTTGAGTTTCTGGCTGTTTAATGAAGCAAAGATGAGCCTAGTTTTTTGCGCATTTCTTATTTCACTGGCAGAAAAAAACTTGGTCTAATTGATTTGAAACCAGCTTCTTGAGTGGGGAAGTTGTCCACCTGCCTGTGGTAGCTTTTAACACTCCCAACTGCTTCATCCTGCTGAAACCTGGCAGGTTTGCACCAATGCAGAATGGGCATTTTTAGCCAATGCATTTTGCTTATCAGTCCACATAATCACTTCTGTCTCTAAAGTTTTGTTTACACCCTGCTATTCTTCCTGTTAGCTTTAATTGCTGCAGTGAGACTATGCCACACATTAGCTGGTGTAGTTATTACAAGGTCTATTGAGGCTGCTATGGTTTCATCTTTATACTCAAACTCTTCTGTGTGAACACAGTGGGTGTAGCCTCAGTGTTTTAGCTAAACTAAAATGTTGACATGTCTTATTCTTATGTACATTTAATCTCAGTTGAATTGCTTTAATTATTTTTAATTGCTGTTCAGTCCAAGTAGGTTTTAACAAAGTACCTAGTTCTTTAAACATGTTTCTTTGTAGAAACCAGTAAAGGTAAAATCTTCTAGTTTTGAAAGATGCAACACAGGGTTCCTGCAGATCCTTAAAAGGTCTTAAAGGTCATTGAATTCTTCCAATAAAACTAAGGCCTTAATTGGAATTAAAATGTCTTAAATCAGCCTTTCATATGTCTTAAAATTGTTACTAAATAGGATTTAATTTTTTAAGCCATATCAAACATTAAAATAACTGACATAATTCTTTTTTCATTTACCCAAAGGCGCACTGTAACCATTATTGGTCCCGATAGTGGAACCAATACAAACGATTTTGCAGCCGGACCTTTGTGTAATGCGCCACTAGCTTTTTATCTGGACAACATAGGGAAGTGTAAATTCATGAAAATTGGCTATCCAGAGAAGAGTTTTCTGCATGGCTAAAAAAAGTATCAGGGAGCGCATATGAGGCACTTTGTATTTTGTGCAACAAGTCATTTAAACACGGCAAGATGGGAGTCAAGGCAGTGGAGACGCACATGAGGCATGAAATGCAAAGCGTCAAAATCAAGTTACTGAGAAGCGCTCGATATTTCTCAGTTCTGTTCCACCCTTGTCTCTGCAATACCTCCACAGCCATCTCCCATATCTCCGATATCAACAACAGCGCTAGTAGCACCAAATCTTCAGATAATGTTTGGCGGTACGCCTACAATGAAAGCAGAGGTGTTGTGGACTTTGAGCAGGGAACAAAACAAGGCTTGTGAATTCAGTTCAGTAGATGTTAAAAATATATCTGTTATTTGTGTTTTTAGCTTTCTTCGTCTATTGAAAGTTTTTCAAAAATTGAAACATTTCTACTGGGCCAGAAAGTAATGGTTTATGTTAAAGTAAACATTTGGGTAAATTTTTTGCAACAAGGTCTTTCCTGTGTTTGTTGAGAAGTTGGTCTTAACTTTTTATTTCAAGTGGCATAAAAAGTCTTGAATTTAACTTGCCTTATGCTATAGAAACCCTGCAAGACATAGGTAGGCACGTGGTTAGTAAATCACTTAAAGCAGGAGTTATTAAGCAGATACTGTAGTTCATTAATATGCTAAACTTGGACAATTCTATATCTCATTTGAAAGACCCTGGTGGGAAACCGACTTTCTTTTAAGGTGAAATGAAGACTTAAGCACATAGGCTTGCACAGCTCATCCTAATCAGCATTTTCTATATTTTTTTTGAGGGTTTATTCCCTAACTTTGTTTCTGTAGTTTAAACAAATAACTGTTCTTATTTCTAAACAACAATTGGACTTCTCTAAATACATGCAATATTGTTTTTTGTCTTGTACCTGTTAGGCGATTTTTTTTTTTTTCTCCATAGTGGAATAATGCACAGATATTTTGGACATAATTTGGAGATATTGTGCAGAAAATCCCTTTTTCCCATTTATTAAAATGTCTGTCAATGAAATTAAAATGGAGCTCTTCTGCCCTCTATGGGCTACTTTGGGGACAGAGAAGGCTTCTGTTTTTGTCCGCTATTACTATTATTGTCCTCTTTGTTTTTTTGTTGTTTTTTTTTGCTTTATTTTCCTCACTATTCAATAGCAAAAAAGAGTTCATAATTAAAGGGGGAAAAAAGAAACTGCTGATTTAGAAAGCCCCGCAGGCTGCAGTCCAACAAAACCACCTTTTGGTGAAAAGATGAATACTGTGTAGTCAGAACATGCCGGGGCAGACCAGAGGGCGGCAGGCAGAGTGGAGCTGCATAGACTTTTGGCTTGTTTCTCTAATTATGGATGCATTCCTGAGGACATATAAGCATTTTCCACTTCTTTGTTGTTCAGAGAAAATAATCTCTCTGTCAGAGTGCCTTGATTCTCTGAGACTCGGCCCTTTAAACCAGCCTCCTCAGAGGCTCTTTTATTCCTAGACCGTCTCCAATGAGCAAATTACAGCCGGGGTAGTTTGGCTACTCTGCTGTGAACCCAAATAAGCATATTTGCATAAAATTTTCTGTATATGAAGAAATAACAGCCTATACACTATTAATATATTTTGTCTATTTATTAGTATTTATATTTAATATCCAAACAACCCATTTAATAAATGTATTTATATTTAATATTCAAATATTATCAACTGAAGAGAGGCTCCTTATTCATGTTCAGTTTATCAAATAAAGGCACTCTGATGTCTAACTGCTCTTGTTTATGAAGAAAATACCTCTGGGCTCTTTGTCTAGATATTGTTAAAGTCTGTTTTAAGGTTTAGTTTCACAGATGAATGTAGAACATTATAAAGCAATAAGCTGCTGTTTTCCCTTGTCCGCGTCCAGAATGTGACCATCTATTATAGTTTGCAGTTAAGCCGTTTTTTTATGGTGACATCAGTGTCGACTACAGGTTTTACCATGCGTAACCTTACTAACTAGTTTCTGTCATGATTAGGAGGATTGTTTTCAAATAATTCTTTCCCTTTTTGTCTTTGCAGTTGAAGAGACATTGGTCCTGTCCTCTGAATCTTCTTCCAAAGTTGAGACGCCTGATTATGTAGTGTGAGTTTTTATTTATTTTGACCACTAAGAAAAAAAGCTTCCCTGATCAAAGTTTGTTTTGGTTTTTTTTTAGAAAAAGCAGAAATGGTGTAGAGCTATCCTTTTTTTTTTTTGTTTTCCATATTGCCTGTAATGATTCCTGGGTTTGTTTATCTGCTGCATGTCAACGACCTTGAGTTCACAGCCATTTTGTATGTTTTGCTTTCACCATCATAAAGGGAAGCCATTCTGGTCTAGGTGGTAATTCTCACTTCTGCCACTGAACACACTGAACAAGATTTTTCATCTGATCCGACAGAAAATCGTGTCATGAGAGGCCTTTGTGTTTAGAGCTCATTTGAAGTCCATTGGGATAAACACACCTGGCACATTTTCTACAAGGGGACTTAATAGCTCCGACTGACATAGACCCCAATTTAATTATAGTCAGACTACGCAACATTTCAGTGGCAATTTCATGGGTCTGATGAGGAGCGACTGAATTGTAAAGGGAAACATTTCTAGTTTCTGTACCAGAAATGGAAAAAAAATAATTACACTGGAAAATAGTCGGGTTTGGAATCGTACTACATGGACAGGGCAGACTACTGCATAAACAATAAACAAGGCATTTAAAAAAAAAAAAAAGAGAGAGCACTTAACATATAGGATTTCACCCAGTACCTTTATAAACGGTCCTATAGCGTTTGTTGCTGTTCTGCTTTTCTTTAAATGTAGTTGATGCTATATTTGGTATTTATTAAAAGTCTATCTGTTCTGGGTTGAGAGCATACTGCATGGGCAGGTCATGTAACGGAGGTTTGCTTTTTAGCTATGCCAACTCCTATTATCTATCTGTCTACGTTCACACACACTGCAGGCCTTGATGCTCAATTCCGATTTTTTTGCGAAATCCGTTTATTTTTTTTTATGTTGCCGATCAAATTTCCAAATCTATCCGCCTTGTATGTGTGTGAACTGCAGTCATACAACGCAAGTGTCCCACATGCGCAGTAGAGGACGCAATGACATCACAGGCCAGCAGGCCCTTTTTTTTTTTTTTTTTTTTTTCCTGGAAGTAAATATGGATGGTAGTGCTGGCGCACATTTAGCGGACTTTTCCAATCATAAAAACACAATCTTTTCAATATGGTTAAATATAAATACTACTCACCGCATAATCATCTGCCATGGTTGTTGTTTTTCTTGCCACTTCTGCGTAGCAAGACGCATAATAGTGACATTTGTCGGGTATTAATGATGTTCAGGTCGATTCATCCGACCTGGCCGTTCAGACACAGGTCGCATTGAAAAGATCAGATTCGTATCGGATTCACGACCACATAGCCAAGTGGCCTGGGTCGGATTGTAAAAAAATCGGATCTGATCTGCCATGAAAAGATCAGATCCAGGTCACATATGGGCAAAAAAATCGGATTTGGGTCACTTCAGGCTGCAGTGTGAACGTAGCCTTTTGTCTTTTGTTTGTTTTGTTTTTTGTTTTGTATTTTTAATGATCTGATGCCTATGAATGTGGGGCATGTTTTCGTGGGCAACATGGACAGAAGTAAAAAACAAAAAACAAAAAAAACAATTGTATTGCAGATTATAAAGTCGGATGCCACTGGTGTGTGCCAAACTTTACTCTGGGGCATGACAGAGAGCCCTCCTCCAAGAACAGATCCCACACACATCCAGGGTGAAATTCTGCCCAAAGGCAGATTACGACATGACAGGGCAGAGACACAGCGAGTCAGAGGGAACTCAGGGTTGAAGGAGCTCATCAGCTGTAAAACCTCAAGAATCAATTTTTAAACTTAAGGACAGAAAAAAAAAAATAGTTTGAAAAGGTGTGATGAAGGTAAACTTCTCCTTCTGATTCACAGGAAGTACACAGCCCTGGTGTCTCTCGACCAGAGGCAGAGCTACAAAGACGACTTCAACGCAGAATATGACGAGTATCGTCAGCTGCATGCCCGTGTGGAGGGCATCACCAGGCGCTTCACTCAGCTGGATGCTCAGTGTCGGAAGCTGGTACCTGGCACTAAGGAGCACCAGGTTATACAAACTCACTGCTTCATGCTTTTTACCAACAATAAGACATATTTTCCTATGAGCCTTAAATTTATAATTTAAAAATTTCCTACTCTAGCTGGTGTGACAGCTTTATCAGGATTAGTCTGTCAGTTCATACATGTTCAATAATATGGCAAAAAGAATGATCACATTAATCAGCGTCTTTTTTTTTTTGTATTAAACAGAATAAATCTACTTTTCTGTCCAGCCATATCTACCATCACATGCTGAATATGCTCAAAGTCATGAGACTTTGTTTAAACCTTTACGTTTGAAGTTCTTCTAACATGAACAATTTTTATTCACAGAAAATACAAATCGAGGTCTTGAAAGAGTACAAAAAGATGAAACAAGTAAGTAGCTAATAAGGTTTAGATAAATGTACCTTCACTGTGAAGACATTGTTGATGGTGCTTTTCATGGGCCTGAATTTGTTACGTCCAGTGTAACTCTAATACCTTTCTAAAAACCAAGCCTCAATCAGTGATATGCAAACCAAGGGTGTCCAACTCTAGTCGTGGGGAGCTGCTTTCCTAAAGCTATTTAGATACATTCCTTTCTATGGCTTTTTACAGTAGAATAGTTCTCCAGGATTGGATTTAAGTGCCTATGCTGATAGTTTAAGCAAACTTAAAATCCATATCTCTCCTAATGTTTGTCCTATTTCAGTGCCTTGCTTCACTGCTCACTTCCCTGAAGCCTTTTCACATGTCTTAAATCTAGATTAGAAACATTTGATTTGATTAGATAACTGTAAGGGGTTAAAATATAAAAATTAATGCTATACAAAAGATTTTACAAATAGAAATCAAAAAAAAAATTTTGTGTTTAGATATTGCTAAATTAAACGGCATCAACTAATATCCTCTAAGGCCCCGTCCACACAAAGCCGAACCCTGGCCTAAACGCACAAATTTTTCACCAAACCAGCCTCTCATCCATACGAAGCCGGCGTTTCGGGGNTTTGCTTTTTAGCTATGCCAACTCCTATTATCTATCTGTCTACGTTCACACACACTGCAGGCCTTGATGCTCAATTCCGATTTTTTTGCGAAATCCGATTATTTTTTTTTTTTATGTTGCCGATCAAATTTCCAAATCTATCCGCCTTGTATGTGTGTGAACTGCAGTCATACAACGCAAGTGTCCCACATGCGCAGTAGAGGACGCAATGACATCACAGGCCAGCAGGCCCTTTTTTTTTTTTTTTTTTTTTTCCTGGAAGTAAATATGGATGGTAGTGCTGGCGCACATTTAGCGGACTTTTCCAATCATAAAAACACAATCTTTTCAATATGGTTAAATATAAATACTACTCACCGCATAATCATCTGCCATGGTTGTTGTTTTTCTTGCCACTTCTGCGTAGCAAGACGCATAATAGTGACATTTGTCGGGTATTAATGATGTTCAGGTCGATTCATCCGACCTGGCCGTTCAGACACAGGTCGCATTGAAAAGATCAGATTCGTATCGGATTCACGACCACATAGCCAAGTGGCCTGGGTCGGATTGTAAAAAAATCGGATCTGATCTGCCATGAAAAGATCAGATCCAGGTCACATATGGGCAAAAAAATCGGATTTGGGTCACTTCAGGCTGCAGTGTGAACGTAGCCTTTTGTCTTTTGTTTGTTTTGTTTTTTGTTTTGTATTTTTAATGATCTGATGCCTATGAATGTGGGGCATGTTTTCGTGGGCAACATGGACAGAAGTAAAAAACAAAAAACAAAAAAAACAATTGTATTGCAGATTATAAAGTCGGATGCCACTGGTGTGTGCCAAACTTTACTCTGGGGCATGACAGAGAGCCCTCCTCCAAGAACAGATCCCACACACATCCAGGGTGAAATTCTGCCCAAAGGCAGATTACGACATGACAGGGCAGAGACACAGCGAGTCAGAGGGAACTCAGGGTTGAAGGAGCTCATCAGCTGTAAAACCTCAAGAATCAATTTTTAAACTTAAGGACAGAAAAAAAAAAATAGTTTGAAAAGGTGTGATGAAGGTAAACTTCTCCTTCTGATTCACAGGAAGTACACAGCCCTGGTGTCTCTCGACCAGAGGCAGAGCTACAAAGACGACTTCAACGCAGAATATGACGAGTATCGTCAGCTGCATGCCCGTGTGGAGGGCATCACCAGGCGCTTCACTCAGCTGGATGCTCAGTGTCGGAAGCTGGTACCTGGCACTAAGGAGCACCAGGTTATACAAACTCACTGCTTCATGCTTTTTACCAACAATAAGACATATTTTCCTATGAGCCTTAAATTTATAATTTAAAAATTTCCTACTCTAGCTGGTGTGACAGCTTTATCAGGATTAGTCTGTCAGTTCATACATGTTCAATAATATGGCAAAAAGAATGATCACATTAATCAGCGTCTTTTTTTTTTTGTATTAAACAGAATAAATCTACTTTTCTGTCCAGCCATATCTACCATCACATGCTGAATATGCTCAAAGTCATGAGACTTTGTTTAAACCTTTACGTTTGAAGTTCTTCTAACATGAACAATTTTTATTCACAGAAAATACAAATCGAGGTCTTGAAAGAGTACAAAAAGATGAAACAAGTAAGTAGCTAATAAGGTTTAGATAAATGTACCTTCACTGTGAAGACATTGTTGATGGTGCTTTTCATGGGCCTGAATTTGTTACATTCAGTGTAACTCTAATACCTTTCTAAAAACCAAGCCTCAATCAGTGATATGCAAACCAAGGGTGTCCAACTCTAGTCCTGGGGAGCTGCTTTCCTAAAGCTATTTAGATACATTCCTTTCTATGGCTTTTTACAGTAGAATAGTTCTCCAGGATTGGATTTAAGTGCCTATGCTGCAAGTTTAAGCAAACTTAAAATCCATATCTCTCCTAATGTTTGTCCTATTTCAGTGCCTTGCTTCACTGCTCACTTCCCTGAAGCCTTTTCACATGTCTTAAATCTAGATTAGAAACATTTGATTTGATTAGATAACTGTAAGGGGTTAAAATATAAAAATTAATGCTATACAAAAGATTTTACAAATAGAAATCAAAAAAAAAATTTTGTGTTTAGATATTGCTAAATTAAACGGCATCAACTAATATCCTCTAAAACCCCTTCTTTGATGACTAGAGTTAATATGGTGGATAAAAAATGGAAGATCAAAACACATCACAGAGACCAAAAAAGACAACAGAAAAGTCGGGGAGGAAGAAAAGCGCATCCAGATATGCATAGAGTATTACACAAGTTAAAAGCCACAAAGATGGCCGACCTCCTAAACATTGGAAACATTCCTAAGAGGAGCAGCAAAGAGGGCCAGTTGGAGAAGCAGCAAAGCTCACTTGGGAGAAGGTTGACAGGAAAAATCTAGTTATTACGGATGCAAAACTACAGTAGGAAACCATTGTAGAAATAAAATGTTGAAAACCCTGTGACTTAATTCAATGATGATCAAAGAATATTGATTTGTTAGAAAGGACTAGTCAAAGTCCAGACCTAAATAGAACAGGAATCTGACACAATCTTTCATTATCCAGTCTGACAAAGCTTGAGACACACTGTAAAGAAGTCAGGGCAAAGGTCAAATGCACGTAGCATTCTGTGATTCCGATTATAAAAACGTGTAAATAAACGTATATGGTTACTTTGGGTATTAATTTTGTATTTAAATAAAATATGTTGTGGTTTATAGTGTTTAATGAGACTTTAAGAGGGTCTGACTTTACGGATTTGTTTCTTACAGCACAACCCCAACTACCATGAAGAGAAACAGCGCTGTGAATACCTGCACAACAAACTGGCCCATATCAAACGACTAATCGCTGATTTTGACCAGCGCAGAGCCCAGGCCTGGTGCTGAGAGCCTAGCTCGGATCATCTTCACTGATCAGTATTGTGAACAGAGTGTCAAAACCAAGGGTGGGGGGTTGGGGTGACCAACCTGCCCTTATTTATTTAAAGCTTCTTTATGTCTTGCCCCTATATCCTTTCTTTTCCTACTACTATTATCCTTCATTCCCTCCCTCTTTTTTCTTTGATTCCACAGGCTAATTTATTGCCTGCAAAATGAAAACCATTTCCCCAATTGGCTTCTGTGGAATAGATGCCTCTTGATCAGGAGAAAAGAGCTGCCTGCTCGTGCATCAAAATGTGTGAAACAGTTCAGCTGTAACTGGTGAAGGACTCTCTTTAGACAAAGTATTTTTGAGCACCAGAGAGAAAATATTAACTTGTATTTAAGTAAAAAAAAGAGGGAGATCTATTTATTTTGAGACTCGTATTGAAAGCAAGAGTTAGCAGAGGAGATATTATTTCATTTTTCTTGAGCAATGCAAAAAAAGGAAGAAAAAAAAAACAATGTATACCACAAGCCTTATGTGTTTTGTGAAGCCATTTTTGCACGCGAGAGCCACGCTTCTCATTCAGCAGAGACTTCTCTGCTGCCTCATTTCCGCTCTATTCAAAGAAAACTGTACTGGAAAACCTGCTGCCGAAGCCAAGAGAAAAGGGAAGGAAATGAGCCAGTGGGGAGGAATCACATGAGCTGTGTGAGAAGCAGCAGAAAGTGTGCATGGGTGGTAAATAATTAGTTGTAAAGATAAAAAAAAAAAAAAAGAGGTGGAAACCAAAGGATTTTTGATCTTTTGACACCTCTGGTTGGGAGGGAAGAGGGCAGTATTCTTTGCACCAAATAAAGTTCACAATGCCTTACGGCGTTTACATTTGGAAACGTGGAGTCGGGTCCACAGGCTATGCAAGGAACTACAACTGTCTGAGAATGATTGTGTGTCTGTGTGAGAGAGAGTGAATGTATGGTGGTGGGTCCTGGGGGAATATGGTAATTGGGCGCATAGGGTTGTGAATGATGTGGAGGAAAAGTTAGAAACATGGAGAAAAAAATAAGCAAAAAAAAAAGCTGCTATAGTCTTTTTTCCCAGCCGGTGCACTCAGGATCATCCCGGCTGGAGAGACATTACCTGATCCTCGGAGGAGAGATGCAAAACATCCCTTTTCTTATTGTTGTTTCTTTCCCTGAAGTGAGTCAACCTCAGAAAGGATTGCCCCCACCTGTTATTAATCCAGCGGCAAACAGTTTCAGTTTTTGAAGGAAGTCCCTTCATCCTACAAGGAACCCATCTGTTCTTGGGATTCCCTGTATTTAATTTTCGGTTTAAGAAGATTTCAGTTTATTTGTACATTCTTCTGGATGGAAGGGGTGGCTTCTGGACAATTATATAAATATTTTTTGTTTTAAGGAGGGGAAAAGAGATGTTTACAAGCTTGTTAGAATGTTTGCCAAAGATTAAATGCCTTTCTGGTACCGCTTCCTCGGAGTAAAGTTTCGCATGAAACAAGTTAAGGACACATTAGGGTGGACAGATCTGCTGAATCAGTCGTCTTGAAAAGTTCAGATGAGATGAGGATTGTTGTCACTGTCTCAGCAGCGATGAGCTTCTTCATACACATCAGATACTTAAGTATTATTTGGACTAGTAAGAATTTGTCCCTGACATGTGAATGAATGCCCCCTGAAACAGATATTACAAGTGATGAGCTGTGTTGGTTGTGACGTGCCGCCTTACAGTCAGTCTCTGCAGCAGACTGGCTGTTGAGGTTTGCCATCAGAATCTGTGAAGAAACTCTAACTTGTTTTTTTTCTTTCTGGTTATTTTTGAATAAGTATCCGAACTCTAAGTTTGGGGGATGTAGCAACATCCCAAATCAGTCTGGATCTCGGCATAGATTTAATTTATGAAAAAGAGAATTCCCTGAGTTTAAAGCATGCTGTTTTTGTTTTGTTTTTTCCAAGTCCTTATGGTGGTGTCCAATCACCTCTGTCCGCATTCCAAGGGATTCTGTCCTTATCAGAACTTTTCTTGCGTTTGGTTAGAACAACATTTGATGGCATAATGCATCTTCATGTATTGAAGGGATTACTCAGTCTTAATTAGCATGATTTAAAAAATAAATATAGCAAAACCCAGAATTTGCAGGGATTCAAGTGAATTTGGACTGAAATATCATCTTGCCCTCCTGAAAATGTTCAAGACATTTCAATAAAGATGAACCTAGTTTACCTGGAAATGTGTGTGGATGTCCTTTTATTTATATGTTTTTTATTTAATGTTGTACTTTCTTTGTTATGGTTTGACTTTCCAAAGATCACCCTTCCTAAATAAAATTTCTTGTTTTGGTCAATTTAGTTAAGAGAGGAATCTTAACCTTTTAGATGCTCACTTGGCTCCTTTTTACAAATCCTTAGACTGTTTCTAAAACCTAGTGATGGTTGGCAGAAACATTGGTTGTGATGCATTATGTTTTTGAGGTTGCAATGGGGGGGGAAGTAGTTCAATAAAATGTGCTGGTGATCAGTCATAGTTATTCCAAAAAAGTTAAACAATCCATTGGTCTTTGTTTCCAAGTTTGAAACTTGGAGACAAAGTCCAGTGGATTGTGTTTGAGCTTTTTTGAAAGTTCACCAAAATGTGCTCAAGTGTTTCCCTAATTTTTTTTAATGATTAAATATGTACATAGCAAATATTTTGATCATATTTGTGATTTTTATCTCTTATTGCCCAACATATTCAGGGGTTTTTGTGTGTGTATACAGTATATACAAACTCAGTTCTTGAGTACAAAAAAATCAAATTCATATAAAGATAATTGTAGTAAGGACGTTTACGAGAAGAAGCTGAAGGATGTCTGGATGGAGCCATTGAGCTGAACATGTTCTTCAATGGGTTCAGCCTCTTTTGACCCAGAGCTTCCCTCTCACACTTCAAATGTATCCTCCACCTCTGCCATGAATCCTCCAGCTTCAATGTTCTTATTCTCAAGCAGATCAGTAGATCAATGCCCCTCTCACTGCCTCTCCCTGCCATCTGTATGTCTCTAGAAGTTAAGTGAAGAGGAGAGACGTGGTAATGCTCTAGCCTCAGATGGTAGCAGTCCTGTGGGATCCTACAGAATCTCTTCAACCTTAGCATTAACTAGGAGACTGTTCTATTTTTTTGTTTTCCTTAGTCCTGCTGCTTTGTTCCTGTACCAAATAAAATCATCATCCTTCATGAACCATAGACCTTTTACCCTGGAATCCCTCATTATGAAGTACCTAAAGATTCCTGTTGGTTCACCTGAGCAAACAAGTAGCTATAAGGACCCCCTGCTAATTGCTGTGAAGTTGAAGATGCTATCATCCACCTGCTATAACAAACCCACTGGCTTTTAGATGAGACCTAGAGCACTGCAGGGATTATGTTCTGTTTGGAAGAAATGCATCAGCATAGCTGTTAGTTGAAATTATGACATAAGAGTTAACGATTTTATATATATATGGTTATATTCATCACAACTAAAAAGGCTTGAAGATGTCCACCAATATACTGTATATGGCATTTCTGTAACCATTCCAAGGAAAAATGTTCCAGAAATATTAAATATCTCTCTGTCTCTCATATTTGTGAATTTTTTTATCAAGAATCTATCGTTATAAGCAAAACACTCAGAAATTCAAGAAGCTTAAGAAGCAATTAAATATAAACATCCTTAGGGAAAAAATTGAAAAGCCCTTCTTGAAGATATTAATGAATAACGCATCAAAGAAAAATAGGGTACATTGTGTAATTCGCACATGAAATGTTCCAAAAAATGAACTTCATTCTTCCTGAAACATTTTGTAATCACTATTATTGAATGTTTAGGGCGGGGGGTCACAGGGGACATGTCCCCTGCTCTTTTTACTGTCCAAAAAAAAACAATGTCACGCTACAGTGTACAGACGACGTTGAGCACTAGGACCAAGCGGAAAGCCCGGAGGAAAAAAAAACAAAACAATCAATGAATGTGACTTTATAATAATTGTAGTGGCAATTGTTTGTCAAACCAAACATCCAATAAAATTCCA